GGCCCGAAACGTCAGCCTCTCTGCTCCTATGATACTGCTTGGCCTGTAATAAGCATAGCCATCCTACTTGAACACATGCCCAGTGGGCATGCTTTAAGTAGTTAAATTATTGTAACCATTTTGTTGAATTTTTGTTTTTAATTTAGTTTGGACGACCTGGCCCTCCAGGACACGTTGGAGTTGAAGGCAGACGTGGCGTCCCTGGAATTCCTGGACCACGAGGCTCTCCAGGGCCCATGGGGAAACGAGGTGAAGCAGGGCATAGAGGGGAACCAGGACCTGTGGGAGCACATGTAAGTTTAGTTTCATCTTAAATTAAGTTTAGAAAGAAAACTGAAACTGTTCAATCTTTGCTTTTTCCAGAACAAAACAGCTCAAACTGCTTTAAGCTCTATCTTCCATTTCTAATTGTGTTAAAACCTCTTTAATCACATTTAACATATGTAAAATTGCTTCATTTTTGACATTATATTGACTGTGGTGACTGTACTTCGAAAAGTATTTCATTGGCTATAAAGCACTTTGAGATGTTTGATGTTATGAAATGATATGTAATTTCGAAGCTTGTGCACAGTGGCTACAACTAGAGAAAAAGTGTTAGGTAAACTAGTGGGGTTTAAGACCAAAAAGTCCCCTGGACCTAATGGGTTGCATCCTAGGATTTTAAAAGAAGTAGCTACGGAAATAGTGGATGCACTATTGATAATCTACCAAGAATCCCTAGATTCTAGAAAAGTCCCAGAGAATTGGAAAATTGCCCACATAACGCCCTTATTTAAAAGGGAGGGTGCTAACAACAGGCCTATTATTTTAGTAGTTGTTGGGAAGATGTCAGAGTTTATTACTAAGAGTATAATAGCGGAGCATTTAGAAATGCATAGTACAATCATGAAGGACAAATCATGCCTGACAAATTTATTAACTGTTCTGGGAGGAGGAAACAAAAAAAAATTCTTCCAGGCAGACACCTTGTGAGGAACATATTTTAATGTGGGAACTCTATTACTTGGTCATTGACAGAAAGTAGATCCAGTTCCAATGGCAAGAAAACCTCAATGACTGGGAATCCAGGAACAAGAGTAGGCCATTCAGCCCCTTGAGCATGTTCCACGATTTTGTGAGATCATGGCTGATCTGTGGCCTAACTCCATACACCTGACTGGCCCACACCCTTTAATACCTTTTGTTTAACAAGAATTATCTATCTCAGATTTAAAAACTAACAACTGATCCTGCATCCACTGCTATTTGTGGAAGAATGTTCCAAACATCTATCGCCCTTTGTGTATAGAAGTACTTCCCAACATCTCTCCTGAACGTCCTGGCCCTCATTCTCAGACCATGTCTCCTAGTTCTAGAATCACCGAGCAGTGGAAATAGTTTATCTTTATCTACCCTGCTTTTTCCTGTTAATATCTTGAAGTCTTTGCTCAGATCACCCCTTGACCTTCTAAATTCTAGAGAAAACATTCCTAATTTGTGTAATCACTCCTCGTAACTCCTGAAGTCTAGATATCATTCTAGTAAACCTGTGTTGCACTCCCTCCAAAGCCAATATATCCTTCCTAAGGTGTGGTGCCCAGATCTGTTCATAGTACTCCAACTGGGGTCTAACCAGGATTTTGTATAACTGCGGCATAACTTCTGCATCATTGTACTCCAGTCCTCTAGCCCATCTCAATGCTGCAGCCATTGCAACCATTGATATCACATGATTATCTTGCATCTGAATCGCCGTGGAGGACTTATTTTGGATTGCGCTTCATCTGCTTCCTCCCCTGACCCCCAGCCTTACTATCAAGGGTGACCGCTACCACGAGTCGAGAATTCCTGACAGTATTACACTTGTGATGAACAGAATTCTCGAGCTACTCTGCCACAGCAAGGTGGCAATCCATGGCAAGGGTAGTATGTTAGCGTGGATAGAGGGTTGGCTAACTAATAGAAGGCAGAGAGTTGGGATAAAGAGGGCATGTTCAGAATTTCAACCTATAACTATTGGAGAACCACAAGGATCAGGGCTGGGGCTACAATTATTTAAAATATAATGTACTCATCTGAAGTTTGCAGATGACACAAAATAGGTGGAAGACAAGTAACAAGAATGACACAAGGAACCTACAGAGAGATACAGACAGATTAAATGAGTGTACAGAAACTTGGCAGATGAAACATAATATGGGAAAATTTGGGGTTATGTACTTTTGCAGGAAGAGAGAAGCTGAATATTATTTAAATGAGGAAGAACTGCAGAAAGGTGTAGCACAAAGATATTTGGAGGTGTTCATGTATGAATCACGAGAAGCAAACATCCAAGTTCAAAGGGAAATAACACAGACAAATGGACTGTTGGCCTTAATTCAAAGGGAATAAAGTTTAAAAATAGGGAATTTGTTATCAGACAACTGAACACTTTGATAATGGGAATCAGATCCACAATCATTTATTTTTATGCATACGCAAAGAGAACCAGTCTTATCATAGTCTGGTGTAAGACTAATTCTAGTGGGTTATAGACACCTCCTAGCTTTATACAAAGCATTACAACATATTACAATTCCCACATTTCTTTGTCTAGGTGTCTTAGTTTAACTACTGTTTTCCCACAGTTTTCACAGGTATTGTCTGTATTTCACCCAAGGACAGCGCTATCTTGCTGATAGTATATCTCCTGTTAGCTCCTAGCTTGTCTTTGCACATCTGTATTTCTCAGTTTCTACATGATAGGACTGAAAATTTAACCCTTTACTTACTGAAACTGATTCAACCCCTTCAGAGTTCTTGTTAAAAGTATACAAGGTACTAGTCACACCATACCTGGAATACTCGAAATAGTTTTGGTCACTTTATCTAAGGAAAGTTATACTGGCATGGGAAACAGGCCAGACAGTTCACAGGGTAATCCCAGGTATGGAGCGATTTTCTTATGAGGAGTATATAAGTGTATGAGTTATAAGGTCTATATTTGATCACAAAACAAAAGGAATAACACACAAAGGGGGAGGCAGAAGCATATTTCTGATTTCATTCCAATCACGTTACTTATTCTGCAAGTTTTTCTTATGGTCCGAAAAAGAGGGAGCTTTCATCTTGGCAACATTGAGGCTGGAAGTACCACTCCCTCTTACCTTCAGTCAGCTCTTGGGCGAACTCCTTTCTCTCTCCCTTTGTTTCTGTCTCTCAACTTGATTTGTTTGCTCTCAGGCTCACGTTGGGCAATAAAACATGCAACAGGCACAGTCCACGTACATGGCTGTGACTGTAGAAGGGAAAAACAGTAAAACTTGCTAATGCTGCATACTGGTCTGACTTGTATACCTCAGAATAGTGTTCCAGTATGGCCAGTACATTCATTTCTAAATATTACTGTTTTTTTTCCCTTGTGGGGGAATACAAGCATTACGTACCATTATGCTGTCTCTGTGTAGAAATGCTGCTTGCGACTGTAATCAGCTTTCAGTTAAGTGGACTCTGTTGGCACTGGGAATTAATTAATGGAATCCTATAGTTTTAAAATGTCCTGGATAGCTTTTCATAGCTGTTATAAGACTGAGGGAAAATCTGGTCACATCCTGGCCATATCTGGAGAATTGAGAACCCTATCTTTCACCCTTTACACCAAGATCCTTTCACCCCTCGTTAAGGATTCTGAATGTCCCAAGTGGTTCAGTTGCACTTGATCTGTGATCCAGTGCTCCAGTTACAAACCACCTTCTGGGTTTTACTGCAGGACCTTGCAATGGCCACCACTCCAAGTGGCACTGCTGGTACTGGAGAAAGCTGCAGGCTTCTAATTGTCTAGCAGCTCTCGTCAGCTGGATATGCCCGCATGGCAGACTGGGAACCCCAATGGCTGCCAGCAGATTGTCTCATTGGGATTTAATGGACTCTCAGCAATGGTCATGTCAGGTTTACGATTTACACTCCAGCTCTGACCGTTAAATTCTACCCCTTGATTTCACTCCGTGTAAAAGAACCAATCTTAAAGGTTGGTTTCTGCACGGTACTGAATGCTATCTTTCTGGCTACCCTCCCCAGGTCATGGCTATCAGCCACTGAGAGAAGCTAACAATCAGAAACCAAGTCATGAGTTTAATTTTGAACAGATGGAGTTCAACAGCATACTCCCACTCCTATGTGTAAAGGAGCTGTGACTTTGTGGGTGTGTTGGTTGGGGCGTGGCGTGGAGGGAGAGGAGGTGTTTGATGTGAAAATCTGTTATTTGTATGTCTTTTGGGAAGGCGTCCAACACATTGACAGACTACATCAGGAATGTGCGGAGCTGAAGTTGAGACATCAGCAGGAGCATGCAACATTCAAACAACCTACCTACTCACTCATTCAACCACCTGCCACACGTGGGAGAATTTGCAGAGTGTACACTGGACTTATCAGCCATCTCCGAACACATCTCATCAGAATGTCATTCTTGATCTGCAGGGACTACCCAAGAAGAAAGATCCTTTGAACTTAAGCCCACTAGTTTCAATGAACCAAACCCACATTTTTGTAATGGACAGTTAAGGCTAAAATGTTTGCAGAGAAACACTCCCAATAGTCATTGTGAAAATTAACAGACAATCTGCTCATGATACACAGAGAGAAGCACCTTTATTTTTCATCTTATTCTGAAACAAAACGCAACCCCGCTGACATCTAAAAATTATATGTGATACATTAATATTCGAAGGAGGATGATGCAAACAGTTAAAAAAAAGTGAACACAAAAAGGGTCAGATGAGGCTAAATACTTAAAGTTGAAATTACATCTCCCAACACTAATATTATTCTTCAAAAAGTTCTTTTTAATTCTCCAGTGTTTATGCCAAATATTTAAGAGTCATGTAAGCCAAGATTTATTTCTGGGGGGATCATTTGGTAAAATTTGATTTTTTTTTATTGTAACAGGATAAAATATTGCTATCAATCTAGTTCAGACTTACTTGAATATCTATTGTTCGGTCCAACATGTTTATTAGTCATCTTTTCTGGTATTGTGTTGCCTATAACAAATGTGATTTTGAAATCAGAAGCATTACAAATATTTCTGAGGTGCAACCCGTTCTTTTATAGTCATGTCTATTTGTTGACATCCATCCTAAAAGCTATTTGCAATAATTTGTGTTTCTGCTAGGGTCCAGGAATGCCCTTGGAACAAGTTTATGAGTTGTGCAAAAGTGTTGTGAATGAACAATTAGCAATCTACGCATTTGCAATCCGAAGGGCATGTGCAAGGGCATGTCCAACCAACAATGTAACATTGATAGGGCCCCCTGGTCCTCCTGGATTACCAGGGAAAAGAGGAGAACAAGTAAGTTACTTGCTACTCAACAGAACACTAACTTTGTTCAGTATGTTTTCTGTGTGTATAACCTCTCAAGTTTAGTCATTATTGAATTATGGAATGTCAATGAGAATTCACCAAACAATAATGCTGGAAGCAAAGTGAAAAACTTAATGGTTGGGTGTTAATTGGGTACAAATTCAATGGACTCCCATGGCTTTTGCCCTATTTGTTGCTCAGGAGGCTCAAATCACTGACAAATAAAGAATTGTTTATCTTTGGATGTGGCATTGTGGCAAGACAGACATTGATTGCTAATCCCTTAATTACCCTTGAGAAGGTGATGATATATTTTTCAAGTTTTATATCCTTTTTATGCACACAGTTTATAAAAGCCATTTCCTTCTGAGTAGAAACATGTGGATTAAGCATAAAAGAGACCATTTTTCTTAAAATATCTGTGTAGATTTCTGTCTTTAATGGACCTGGAAAATTGGCTCAGTCTTTTCTATTAAGATAACCATGTATGTATTCCAGGTATCAATGTATTTGCTAGTGCTTTTGGGATGGTTTAAACTACAATGGCATGGGATGGGAACCTGAGTAAGGAGACAGAGGAGGGAGAAACAAGGATAGGAACAAAAGAAGCAAAGGTGGAAGGCAGACAAAACAAGGAGGACGATAAGCAAAATGACCCTGTAAAATGAAGTTCAGGTGAAACAAGGTCAAAAAGGCAAGTCTAAAGGTTTAATGTCTTAATGCTCGGAGCATGTGCAATAAGATGATGAATTAGTGACACAAATAGATATAAATGGTTATAATATAATTTTGATATCAGACATGCCTGCAGTATCATATTCAAAGAGGGTTACCTTTTTAGTGATGTGGGGAGTCTTTTTCTTTGAATTTTGAGAGATTTTGATCAAGTATGTGAGCTGAACATGCAGGGTTTTCATAATTTAGGATGCACAGACCAAAAGGGAAAGGAGATGGGTTTGCATTGTTAGTAAAGAAGTGATCAATGAAGTACTGAAAAAGAATGTTGGCTCGGAAAATCTTGGAATCAGTATGGGTGGAGGTAAGAAACATCAAGGGGCAGAAAATGTTCTTGGGGGTTGTAAGAGAAGACATTAAACAAGAAGTCAGAAATGCATGCAGTAAGGGTACAATTGTAATCATGGGTGACTTCAGCTTACATTTGGATTAGACAAAACAAGCTAGCAATAATGTTGTGGAAGAGGATTCCTTGGAGTGTATACATGATTTTATTTTTAGATCAACATGTTGTGGAGAAAACTGGAGAACAGGTTATTTTAGATTAGGTACTTTGCAATGAGAAAGGATTATTTAACAACCATGCTGGAATGGGGTCCTTTGGGGAAGAGTGACCATAATATTATAGAATTAGTCATTAAACTGGACTGTGAAGTATTTGAGTCTGAAACTAGTGTTCTGAATTTAAATAAAGGGAACTGTTGAGGGTATGAAGCATTGATTGGGAAACCTTACTAAAGCGTTTGATGCTAGATAGGCAATAGTTCACATTTAATGAATGTGTACATGGATTACAACAATTGTTCATTTCTATCTGGCACAAAAATAAGAGGAAGGGTGGATCCATCATGGTTTACAAAAGAAATTAGAGAAAATATTAGATCCGATTAGGAGACATATAGAATTGCCAGAAAAAGCAACAAGTCTGAGGATTGGGACCATTTTAGAATTTAGTAAAAGGGAACAAAAAGCTTTATCAACAGGGAAGAATAGAGTATGAGGAAAAATTTTGAAGAAAATACAAACTGACCATAAAAGCTACTATAAACCTGTGAAGAGAAAAAGATTAGTAAAGACAAATGTAGGTCCCTTACAGTCAGGAACCAGGGAAATGATAATGAGGAGCAAAGAATTGGAAGAACGATAAAACATATACTTTGGTTTTGTCTTCAGAAAAGACGGCACAAATAACCTCACAGAACTGTTAGGAAACCGAAGGTCCCATAGAGGATAGAATTGAATAGAAATCAGAATTACTAAGAAAATAGTACTGGGGAAAGTAAAAGAGTTAAGGGCTGACAATTCACAGGGTCTGATAATCCCAGAGTACTAAATGGAGTAGTCCTGGAAATACTGGATGCATTTGTGGGCATCTTCCAAAATTCTACAGACTGGAGCAGTTCCTATAAATTGGAGGGTGGCAAATGTAACCCCACTATTTGAAGAGGGAGGGAGAGAAAAGAATAGCAAATTACAGACCGGTCAGCCGAAAATCAATGATGGGGAAAATACTACAGACTGTTATAAAAGACAAGATTACAGAACTTTTAGGAAGTATTAATGGGATTTGACAAAGCCAGCATTGATTTATTACAGACAAAACATACTTGATAAATCATTTTTTGATGTAGCTGGTAGAATAGATTAAGGCGAACCAGTAGATGTGGTGCATTTAGATTTTCAGAAGGTCTTTGATAAGGTCCCTCATAAGCGGTTAGTGAGTTAAATTAAAGCATATGGGATAGAGGGTAATATATTACATAGATCAAAAACTGGTTGACAAACCGGGAATGAACTGATTTTTTTTCTCAAGTGGCAGGCAGTGACTAGAGAGTACCACAAAGATCAGAGCATGGGCCCCAGCAGTTCACATCATTTATAAATGACCTGGATGAATGGAACCAAATAGGACATTTCTAAGTTTGCTGACAACACAAACCTGGGCAGGATTGTGTGTTGCGAGCAGAATAAAAGGAGGCTTCAAGGTGATTTAGGCAAGTTGACTGAGTTGGCAAACATATGGCAGATGCAGTACAATGTGGCTAAATATGAAGTGATATACTTTTGTTTGAAAAAATAGAAAGGAAGAATATGTACTATTTAAATAGTGACATATTAGGAAGTGTGGATGTACAAAGGGATCTGGGTGTCCAGAAAGTCGACAGGCAAGTGCAGCAAGTAGTTAGGAAGTCAAATGGTCTACTGGCCTTCATTGCAAGATGATTTGAGTTCAGAGGAGGAGTTGAGAAAGGTCTCAATTCTGCAAACTTGTCTCCATTAAGGAGAACCCTGCCAAATACCTTGTCATTCTGAAAAGGTGGGATGGTCTGGAGATGGAGGTAAGTGGATGGAAAGATTGATAGGCCAGACAGCTATCTCCATTTACTGGGATGTTATACCCAGTTATAATGATATGTGTCAGGTCCTCAAACCATCACACCACCCCACACCGGTATAGACCCAGTACTGATCCTCCATATGCATTTCCATGTCTGCCGTGCCCTCGCCATGCCACCTTATAGCTCTAAAGTGCCCTCCCATACCCCCATGTCCTTTCCATACCTCCTTGCATTCTCCATAACCACGCTCCCAGGATCTATTCCATACAGAGCCAATACTCTCAAGTTTGGCAAGTCTGAAATAATCCTGATATGACAAGCTGAAACTTTGAAAAGTTCCCTTGCAGAACAGCTCGGTTTTTAACCTCCTAAAAGTGTCAATAATTCTGAGTATTAATGTCAAAAACTTCTATACGCTTCTGACTTTTTAATCCTGTGCAAATCAATAGGCACTGAAAACATACTTCAGGAAACAATAAATCATTAGAAGGTAACAGGCCATCTGACAATTGTATCAACAAAGCAGCCTGATCAGATGGCCTTATTATGATTGTTTGGCTGAGCTTGAAGAATGGCTAATGGGACTTAGAACTCAGTAAACAATGTTTCTATAGTTGCAGAGGGGCTGAAAGCTTGATTGATTGATTATCACCTCTATCATCTAGTTCTAATTATTCTAATGTAGAAGATACTTTCAATATGAATGCATAAAACAAGTGGGAGGTCAGTAATCTCTAAGCCTCAGTTATTGCTGTTATGAGAAGTTTTCAGAAAGCGAATGAAAACAGCTTTCTCTTGATTTTTGTTCTCGCCCAGTAATCTAGTCCTCACCTTTAGAACACATGTTCTGCAGAATAGGAATTGAAGTGCCATTTATTTTCTGGCTTAATTGACTTCACAGTTGATGCTCTGGCACGCTCCAGCCTGATACAGGCCTAACTTTCTTTTATTGAAATATTACATCTTTTTGGAAGTATCTACTAATTAAATTCAATGTGACTGTAACACACACAGGATTTTTTCAAAAGCTAGTCTTAAGAAATAGTTACATTTAAAAAGAATGACTTAAGATCTCCTTTAAAAATTTAAATAATCATTTTTCTACAGGGTGAATTTGGTAATGCTGGAAATCCTGGTAAACCTGGACCAAGGGGTAGACAAGGATTAGCTGGATTAAGGGGTGCTCCTGGAGAGCCAGGTAATCTTTAGTTGTTTGTATATTGATGCTGCACTTGGGCCCTTTCTATTCAGTAATAATTATTGTTGGCTTTAACTACAATTCTTTTGTACTTTAGGAGATAAAGGTGAAAAAGGTGTAAAAGGAGCTCAAGGGGTTGGACTTCATGGAGCGGAAGGATTACAAGGACCAAGAGGTTCATTCTTTTTTACTTCATTGTGCTTTAAGGATGTGTAATATATTTTTGGGAGTATGAACCATTAAAAACCAAAAGAACTGTGGATGCTGGAAATCAGAATCAAAACAGCAATTGCTGGAAATGCTCAGCAGGTTTGGCAGCATCTGCAGAGAGAAATCAGGGTTAACGTTTTGGGTCCAGTGACTCTTCCTCAGAACTGGTTCTGAGGAAGGATCACAAGACCTGAAACGTTAACTCTGATTTCTCTCTGCAGATGCTGCTGAATTTTTCCAGCAATTTCTGTTTTCCATTAGTTTGGCCAAGTATTGTGACAACAGCAAATGCTAGCGTCTACAGGGTGAATTTTATAAGGGCATATATTCCTTGTTCACCAGTCCCCCATCCTAACCAAAAAGGCAGTGGACATGTCACTGACTTTAAAACGAGATGCCCTGTTACAATAATACATTAGGGGTGGCATAAATGAGATGACAGTGGAACATCCACCCCTCAGGGACATGAAACATTACCTGCACAGGTTGACAGCTCTGTAGTCCCAGCAGTGTCAGAACATAGTAGCAGACACTGTAGGGTTCCAAAAAGAAATGAAGATCTCTCCTGGACTTGAGGTAATTCCAGGCATTTTGGGATAAGATATTTTTGTGATCTTGGTGAAGAAAGAGGATGATGTTGGGCTTTAGAAACTCAGATGGGTGGAGGGAAGGGACACAAAAGAGGAAAAATATCTTTGGGGTTTGTCCCTGATGGAGACAAGGGATTCCAAAAGGAGTACCTCCCTCACCCTTACCTGTCCATTGAAAATTTCTGGGCTGTACGTAGTACAGGGTAGAGAAAGAATGAGATACTTAAATAATCACCAATTAGTTATTGAGGATTCAATTGGTGTTTGGACAGGTGGGTATGTTGGCTAACATCTTAGTTACCTCCTAAATACAGGGGAACAAGTCAGGCTGGGTATCAACATGATGGGAAGGCTGTCTCCTTTTGTTTTAAATGCCCCTAAAATTGCCTCTATGTCTCAATCAGAATCAGATTGAAATGATTACAATTGACTTCATGCAAAACGTTGTTATATTAGGGAGAAGAGCCATTAGACATGTCTACTGTTTACATGAGAAACCCACTCATATAATGTGATGACCCTTCTCAGTACAATGTACTAAGAAAGTTTGGTGACCTTTTAATAATTTACTTTTACAAAGTGGGAATTGATGTCCCTTTGAGACAAGTTAGAAAACATATTGGGCATATTTCTGTCAATGAGAAGCTGTTTCTCTTCCCCTGCACACCTGTTTCAGGCATGAGTCCAGTTTTTTTTTTGTATTTCAAACATTTCAACCTGATTCATAAAATCCAAACTGCAGCTCTAGCCACATAAATCTGATAATACCTGGAAGGAGTTCGTGTAGGGACTACTGAAATAATCCCCAGTGCCTGCTAAAATCCAATTTAAAGAACGGAAGAAAAACCCCATTTCTAGTTAATTGGAGTAGTTCTCTTCGATTTAGTTTGATGAAAGAGAAGAATAAATTAGGAGGAGTTAACTCTGTAACATGCAAAGGGTGTTACTTGAATCTATGACTGAGCAGTAGATAAAGAAAGAGGTTTGTGTTATAGCCTGTGTGTCTTGCGCTGAGGGGCATGAACTTTGGAAATTGATGTGAGATCACCGCACGCTTTTTCATGCTGCACACCTAGGTCCTGTATTCAGAAATATAAATGATTTGAATAATTCCATTACTTGTGCATTCACTTGTCTTTGAAAATTATTAGTTTTCTCATTGAACTGAAAGTAAGTCTCTCTCTGTCTGTCTCTCTCATTATCTTTCAGGCTATCCGGGTTACCCAGGTGATGCTGAAGAAGGAGAACCAGGTCCGCGTGGGCCAGTGGGATATACTGGACCTTCAGGACAACCAGGAATGCCTGGCGAGCAAGGAGTTCCTGGGATTTGTGAAACTAGTGACTGTGGAATCCATGCTGTTGATTTTCAGACCCACTACAGACTTCTGAAAAGACCAAATTATTAGCATTCAGCCAATTACAACGGCATACTGTGGAATTTTTACAAAAATAAAGATAGAAAGAATTGATCATCATGAGAAAGAAAACAGCTAACATTGTATTTTGAGCACCTACAGTCCACAGTAAAACAGATGTTATCAATTTGATAATAAATGGTTTGCTTATCTGTTAGGTTTATTCGACACCATTAAAATTGTGCTCAATGATTATTCTTCAAATTATGTATTTACAAAAATAGCTAGTCAGATTTCTTTCCATAATATATTCACACCTTTTTTCCTAATTTGCTGTCTCCTATTGGCAGTTTGAAACCCCCGTTTATTTTTCTCCAGATATTTTCTTTTTTTTTAAAAGAAATTAATAAAAGAACATCAGAGGGGGCAAATTTAATCCCAAAGTACCCAGGCAATAGCAGAGAAAATTATTTTTAATGTTGTTTAAACTAAAATTAAATGAGCAACTTCAGAAACAAAAGGCCAAAATAAATGTCAACCCATAATTATTTATACCTTTCATGGTACCACTTTTAGAGGGTTTTGTTATCACACTTGCACTTAAACACCTAGACCACTGGTTCCCCAAAATGTTTTGCTCATTCACCCCTGCTCAGACCGATCATTCATTTGGAAGCAGCTACAGTCAGCTTCTCTTTCAACCAGCCAGCCCTCTAATGAAACACGTCTTGTAATTTTAATGATTTACATGTTAATGTACACATGTCTACAGTATTTTTTAAAATTAATTGTGAATGTGAAGGCCAAGATTGTTTGTTTTTTTTTTGAGCATAAGCATTTGAAATCGGGAGAGTCTACCACTGATGAATACCACCCCTGACCCATCAAAAATGTACTCATAGCCCCTCTTTTCAACCCTGATCTGCCCCCTACTCATCACAGTGAGCCTCTTTCCAACATCACTTCCCTCCTTCTAATGGCAACACCTTTTGTAAATCATTTCAATTACACATTACAGGTAAACATATATCTACAATGATATTTCTGATTGAAATTTCAATGTGATGAATGAACTTGTTTGTTAGACCCTAAGCATTTGAAGTAGAATGGCCCTTCCCCTAGTCACTTACTCAGCAACCTTATTTCCCAAAATCTATCCAGTCCCATTTTCACCTCCATCAAGCCAAATCTTTTACTTGTATTTTTATTTCAAGAAAGGGTGGCACTTGTCCTTTATTACTTGTTGCTGATGTTAGTGTAGGAAAAGGAGACTATTGTAAATTCTGCATACAGGGGAGTTATCCTGTTTGTGTTGGAACTCAGCAATGTATTTCAAGCAAACTGATTCTGATGTTATCAGGTTAATTTCCTGTCTTGCCTATGGCAATGGACCTCACCTTACTGCCAATGCGCTTTGGAAAATCACAATGTTCAAATGACTTTTCCATGCGGGCTGGCAGAGAGCATGGTCTTAGAAAATACACTTTTATCTGATCCAATAAAGAACACATTTAACTCAAGTCAGCTAACAACAGTACAAGATCAAATCAACGTAATATTCAACATAGAATGGCACAAATGACAACATCGACAATGCCTTCTTATTAAACAAAATTACACGTTGGAGGAGGTTTTAAGTTTTTATCCCACATATTCAGTCTATACTAGCTCAGAGGCATATATTAAACAACTGGGGGCAGCTACCTGATTAACTAAAGAGAATTTAAAGTGTTAAGACCAAAACAATTAAAGAACAAAATGCAAAGAATATAATATTTCAAAGAGAGTTGTAAAGATTTGTTGGTTGTTTGCCATTTGGTGAGTTGCTCTTACAGAGAACTGGCATAGATACGACAGGCTGAATGGCATGAGATTTCATTTAACAGCTATTATAGCAATACTTAACTTCCCAGCATATGAAAATAAAGGGAATTATGAAAAATACAGAAGTCACAATGTCCATTGGACTAGTGTCAACAATTTATCAGGCACCAAATGCACCCTACTATCATTGTATTGTTTTCAAAGTTGTTTTCAAAGCTATAAGAAGTATTTGTTCTTAGGAAGAACAAACCCTCAGATGAAGGCAGGCAAGGGGATAATGGTTTTTGTCCCATAGTCATTGGCCGAAAGGGTTGAAACAATTGATTGACACAACATAAGTTACCTGCCCTAAAAATATGATATAACAATAAATGGTCAGGGAAGAGGGCAGTTCTTATTAAGGAGACCTTGCAGGCAGCAGTTCCTATCAGGCGGTATCCTGAGAGTAGTCTTCAATGGACAGTCTTCACCAGGCAGATGGACAACACACCATAAGGACAGGGGAAGACCCAGGGCAGAGTTCTCTAACACCTTGGCTAAAGAGCAGGATGCTGCCCATACCACTTTAATGAGACCAAACACTCCACATGCCAACAGCCTGCTCGTCCTCTAGCATCAGTGAATCTTCCCCAGTTGTTACAGTTGTGTATGTTCATTATCTAATTAACTAATGTATCATATCTAAACTGCTGCTTCCTTACGTACTCAATAAACTGTCAGAAAATTACCTATAAATCATTAGCTGCCTATATTAGGTAATTGTGATCACAAACCCTGAAAATCAACAGTGAACAAGATAGTTCTCTACAACAGTCACTGATAGTTTCATAGCAGTAATTACTTACACCACATTTTAAAAATGGAATTTATTAATGAATTGAATTCAAATTCCAGCAGCTTTTGAAGTGGGAGATGAATCCAGATCCTCGGAGTACAAGTTTGGGCTGCTGGCTTTCTATAGTGACATTAACCTTAGGCCACCATCTCTTCAGCTAATTAACGTTCTGCAGTGTGTCTGTCTTCTGTGTGCCTTTGCCTGTCCCATTGCTCCTATGCAATGCTACCCCAATACATGCTCTGAGGTATTCTTTAAATGCTCAGTTCATTTAGTCTCATACCATGACCAATGCAGGCAAGATGTAACCATGAGTTTTAGGTCAAAGGTCAAGTTTGTCTGCAAGTGGCTGCTAGGAATGGTGGGAGAGCCCACAGGTGAGTCACACATGGCCAATGCTGGAATATTGTTCATATTTACACTTAATCATATTTTCATGGCATGCTCTTGTTCACTCTGTTACTGGCTACAGAAACACAGACACAGCTAAGAATTTTACTGCATTGTTAAATGGCATTCATTGTCAGAAATTTCTAACTTTCAAACAAAACCTTAAGCAAATTTGTAATTTTACAATGATATTGATGGTGAAATGTTTCTATATCCCTATGCCTCAGATCAATATCATTTCACTACTGCATGAATTAAATCAAATCTTTTTATATATTTCTTGCTACTTTTGACAATTTCTGTGAACGAAACTAACTATATTCAAATTTAGGTATGAAATTTTAATTTAACATAGGATCAAGAAAGCACTGTGTGACAGGATTCCTCATCAAATATTGGAATTGTAACAAATTAAAACTATGTATTTCTATTTCTCTGGATTTTTCGTATTTTTTGGGGTTGGCGCATTATGCTGGTTTCCTTGTAAAGGGCCTGTTTCCACACTGTAGTGATTCTATGAATTTAATTCAAAATGAGTGATTTAGTTGGGTCAATTAAAGAAAAATTGCGGTGCTTCCCACTCCCTATTTGTTTTTCTTCAACCTTACTGTTTTTTAAAGATACTGTCTTCTTCTCCTTCATTTCAAATGATCTAGAGTTTCATAATTAAAAAAGATTTTGTAAGTTGGGCATTACCTTTACTTTTTTGAGCATTGAGCAACTGGCCCAAAGGATGAAACAAATGCACCATTCTACAATAGAGAT